TTCTGAAAAAAAACTTGAAAACGTCATTCCCTCACATCACAATCAAAATCAAATCAATCAAAAGCAATCACATTTGTGTGAGTCTGCTCCAATAGCAAAGCTCCAGGAAGATTCAATAAAAATAAAAAGGTTTTGATATTCTGAAAAAAAAAAACCTTTATAGACTTTTGAGACACTGGTTGGTGAAAAGTCGATTGTTAGAAAAGGGGCGCACGAACCATTATTTTTCAGAATAAAGACTACTATAGACGGATTCTCTGAAAATAAACAACACAATTTTGATTTTCAGTTCAACAACAAGTGTTACAACAAAACATGGCGACTATCTGTTCAGAGAAAAGTGTTTTTTGTGTTCAAGTGAGCGACTATGACAGCTCCTTCAATCACTATTACTCAGAGACCGCCGGAAGCACTGGAACGAGCAGTAAGAACCGCACAAGACAAAGACCGGGCTGAAGGAAAAATGTATGTGCAATGGCTGGAAAAGCATTTGTCAAAGACCGCAAATATACTGAAGCAAAATTATACATCATTTCAATATTGACTGAATTCACTCATTTATTTTAGGAGTTTCATGATGACAACTGTTAACACTAAGACTACCAGAACTTTTTCCTCTGCACTTTACCCATCCTGGAATGCCGCTCAGGCCTCTGTCAGGAGCAGTGGTCTCCGTAGTAACAGCGGCCAGAATCCTATCCCTACATGTTGATGCTCGGTTTGGTCAGGACTACCAGAGCTGGAGGATTGACCTATCTTGTATGTTTTTAGTGGTATAGGAGAAACCAGAGAATTTGGAGGAAAACTACGCAGACACGGGGAGAACATGCAAACTCTGGGATTCGAACCCAGGAGCATCTTGCTTACCATACATACTAATAGTTACTAGCATAGAAAATAGTTGACCATTCAACAGAAAATAGATAGATAGATATATAGATACTTTATCAATCCCCCAGGATAAATTCAGGTGTCCAGTAGCAGTAAAAACACATGCATCCATACCAACAAAACAAATAAATATATAATTCTAAAAGTAGAGCTGTCAAAATGACTGCTCTGGGAGTTAAAAATAGAGCTACTCACATCTCAAAAATAAACAATAATGAGACCAAGAAAACAGTACATGATAGAACCAAATCGTTTTTTTACACTTTCAACGTTTGAAGGAATGGAGTCCCATTGGACCTACCATACTCCGTCGACTCTGTATTTAATCTAAACTATCAATTTATAGACAATAGGTAAAACAACAGATCAATAGTTCATTTGCAAAAAACATTTTGCAAAAATATTTGAAAGGCTGTCAATTAACCCTTTACCAAGTCGTTTTTTTAAGCCACAAGCAGCGTTGAACGGCCCTCGCCGCACCGCGCAACAATTTTCTACTGTCCTGACGGGAGCGATACAGTGCATTTTGAGTTCCTACGATCAGTGATTGCGTGTCTCTATTGAAAAGGTAAACCTCATGCTCCCCATGTAACACTTGTTTCAGTCTGTAGGGGGCGCTAATGCTGCAATTTCATGATTCACACTTTCAGTTCCTCAAACCCAAGAGTTAACTCTAGGACCGCCGTGCTCTAAACACACCTTGCACCGCCACCTGCGGTCAGTTGACCGCTATGTATTTTGCGCTGATACAGCCTTTTGCCAAATTGATTGTTCACTAAACCAGAACTTGATGTTGCAAGGAAATCGTGATCATAATGAAACTGTGTAAATTATTTGTCTAAATATGCTAAGTAATTGTAATTCTAGCCGAAATAAAAGACTAAGACGACACATTGTGCGTGTACTCCTCCATCAAAATTACGATGACTTTTCAGGCTAGATTTATTTTGTTACTATTTCTGTGACGTGAGACTGAGATAGTAGATCAATGTAACAGTAATTGACCTTGAAGTGACAAATTGTCAGAAAAAAGCGGTGTGCGGGTGAGTTCGTTTGTGTTAAAAATACTGTTTATTGAAGCGGCAACGTGGACCCTTTCATCTTGTTCCTAATTTCATGGCTGCGGTTCCAAAAATACAGTCGGTGCTAACTTGAAATGTTGCGTGGGAGAAGGTGTAATCCCTAAAGGAGGTCAATATTATGAAAAAGTTTATACATCAGAGTGTGCTATTTTAGATTATGACACAGTGTAAAAATAGGATAACAGTGTTTGAACATTGATTTTATGTTTTGGTAAGATAAATCATAGTTTTGAGGTGGTATTATTCAAGTACTGACATCAGTCTATATTTTTTGCCTGATGTGGAGAAAGCTGATTAGAGCAAACATGAAAATGGTTTATAAGATGGAGTCTGGAGCCAAATTATGTGGGTTGCAACGGCCTAGCAACCGAAGAGCCAATCAGGAGAGGAGCTAGTCCATACACACTAGACTAGAAAGCTAAAACTGAATTGAGGAAAAGGAGGCACCTGATTGCTCGGTTTTTAGCGTTCATAACTGGATTTAAAACAGAAATATTTGGATCATAGAGAGCATTGAATTACATGGTGAATGAGAGCCAAGTAGGAGCAAAACTTTAATCAGCACTTCCTGAGGTTTAATTGAGCATTATCCATCTACGTGCAGGGGATCTAAGAAAAATTTACTATTTTAAATAAATTCAATGTACTATTTTACAGAGTGTAGAGGTGAGGCTGAAGTTCGAGGCATCTTTTCCAAATCAAGATTAAGCTGTACAAGATTGAACCATTCTGTAATACATTAAAGCTGCACTAAGTGACTTTGGGATTTTGAAGCAGCAGACTCGCTGGCCTCTCTCTTTCTGCTCCCCTCCCCGCACCCACGAAGCTATCGCCCCACACACACACCCACTGTTGGGACGGAGCTAGTGTCTCCCAATATGGATAATACATGGACATGGATTTGCACGTGGATGGCGTGACCATAGAACGATAGAACCGGGAAGCGCGGAGGAACGAGACTTTCTTTTGGATGGCTGTCTCGCTGTGTAAGCAGTAACCGGTGATGAAGAGACGAAGCTTCAGGTTAGCTCCTCGGCTTGTTGTGCTAACTCAGCCGTCTATGCTAACGGACCTGTGGATTTCTCACGAAAGTGGGGGCCAGTGGTCCGCTGTGATTGGTCACAATCTGCGACCCGAAACACATTCTCTTCCTTGTTTCATCAAAACTCGATCTAAAATATAATGTCACGCCAGCACAAATCTGCGCTACTTTTTCGTCAAAAGGACGTATATCCCAATGCCCTACACGGACATGGATAGCATTTTCGTAATGAATACAAAAATAAAGTCAGTTAGTGCAGCTTTAAATTCACGAAAGTTCTGAAAAAATGTTTTCTTTTATGACAGACTTAGTACAGACATTTTAGACATAATAGAGAAGTAGAGATTACAGATACAAGAGTCAAACAGTAATTAACAAGATAAGCAATCCTTTTTTCGTCCCACAGTGGGGAAATTTCAATGTTGCAGCGCACAAACAGGGCAGTATAGTAAGAGCACACAAAATACACAAAATAATAGCTGCTTTGTTTCTTAGATAGCTGTAAACGCTTCATTAGCAATATATCAATTTATTATACGGCTCCTCACAGCAGCAGGAGAACGCTCCATTGATTTGAATGTAATTTCAAAACGTTCTACCGGTCATTCTTTCTATAACGGACCTCTCAAAACAATAATGACCGCTGCCCATGGCAACGCACTCTCTGCTTGTCTTTCAAATGCGTGGATAACTCCGCAAGTAGTTCCGGCCACTCCTGAGCTAGCCACGCTCAATCAACACACTTAAATGTTAATCGGAGAATACTTATACATATACATTCTTCACACACGTGCACGGAAATTTTCAGAATTTTCTGGTCTTGTCTTCATGACAAAAATACTACTTCTCTGCGTCAAAAAGCGATCGTGAAAAACCCGGAAGTAGTTCTGGCCGCTCAATAAACGCAAATGCCAATCAATCAACGCAATGAAATGTTTATCGGAGAGTGAATTATACATATGCAGTCTTAATACAAGTGCACGGAAGTTTTCAGAATTTTCCGTTTACGTTTTCATGACAAAAACACTGATGTAATGCGAGAAAAGGCGATCCCGAAAAACCCGGAAGTATACCGGCACATTTTAAGATACCGGCACATTTTCGGACACATTTGCAGAGGATCGAATTATGGATTTAGGTTAGGTTTATGCATGGGTCACTCACCGCTGATGTTCAGAATTCTTTGTTCAGTTTTCATGCAGTTCCAGAGAGTTCTAGTTTGGAAGTTGCCAGCCTAACTGTTGCCCGCGGTTGCCGAGCAACGGGAAAACTTTTTGGGACTACTTTATTTGTTGTCATTAAATAAACTTTTGGCATTCATAAAAGTGATCTGAAGTTTATTTTGTGTGTTAAGTTGGTACAAAGCAGTATAATAAGCGGGATAATGTATAGCATACAGGTCATTATTGGAAAATAAGTACCTTCAGGGCGGAAGCACGTCGGGGTCCGCTTCGCCCTGTCGGTACTTATTTTCCGATAATGACCTGTATGCTATACATTATCCCTTACTTAATATCTCTATCTATCAATATATACATAGTGCAAAGTTATATACATATAGGGCAGGATAATAAGTAGATAGAGTGACATTCAGTGAACACTCTGAAATTGCAGTGTTGTACATTGCATATGCAGTATTTACTATTTGCAAGTGAATGATATGTTCAGGCTCAGCAGTACTCATTGTACAGGAAAGACCTGCAGAACCTCTCCTTCACAGCTGACTAGTTCAAATCTGGCAGTCAAATAATTGTCTTTTAATTAAACAGACGGCAAATAGGTATAAAGTGGGCTTAGCTTTCTGGTTCAGGAAGTAAGATCTAGGGATTTTGAATAATAATAAAATATCAGATCTCTGGTGAGTCACAAGATCTAAGGTATTTAAGTTTTTTTTTTTTTACCAGTAAGCCAGGACTCCATATATGTTCACACACATGGTCTGGACATGCGTCAGACTCACCTCCTCTCTCACCTCGCCCCCACAGCCTCCCAGTGACGAGATATGTGACGTGTGCGAAGTGTGGACGGCCGATGACCTGTACCCCTGCCGGATCTGCACCAGGGTCTTCCACGACGGCTGCCTCCGCGAGCTGGGCTATCTGAGCACTGAGGCCCTGCAGGAGATGAGAGACACAGCCCACACGGTGACCGGCTGGAGCTGCTACTACTGCGTAAGTCATATCAGAACAATACTACTGTGTAAGTTATATCAGAAAAATACTACTGTGTAAATTATATCAGAAGAATACTACTGTGTAAGTTATATCAGAAGAATACTACTGTGTAAGTTATATCAGAAGAATACTACTGTGTAAGTCATATCAGAAGAATACTACTGTGTAAATTATATCAGAAGAATACTACTGTGTATGTTATATCAGAAGATAAAATCTACTGTGTAAGTATATATACCTGTTAGTACGAAGATACTACTGTGTAGTATATCAAAGAATACTACTGTGTAAGTCAGTAAGTTATATCAGAAGAATACTACTGTGTAAGTTATATCAGAAGAATACTACTGTGTAAGATCATATCAGAATTATCAGAACAACTACTGTGTATTGTAAGTCATATCAGAAGAATACTACTGTGTAAATTATATCAGAAGAATACTTATCGTCTGATGTTATATCAGAAGAATACTACTGTGTAAGTTATATCAGAAGAATACTACTGTGTAAGTTATATCAGAAGAATACTACTGTGTAAGTTATATCAGAAGAATACTACTGTGTAAGTCATATCAGAAGACTACCACTGTGTAAGTCATATCAGAAGAATACTACTGTGTAAATTATATCAGAAGAATACTACTGTATAAGTCATATCAGAACAATACTACTGTGTAAGTTATATCAGAAGAATACTACTGTGTAAGTCATATCAGAAGAATACTACTGTGTAAATTATATCAGAAGAATTATCAGAAGAATACTACTGTGTAAGTCATATCAGAAGAATACTACTGTGTAAATTATATCAGAAGAATACTACTGTGTAAGTCATATCAGAACAATACTACTGTGTAAGTTATATCAGAAGAATACTACTGTGTAAGTTATATCAGAACAATACTACTGTGTAAGTCATATCAGAACAATACTACTGTGTAAGTCATATCAGAACAATACTACTGTGTAAGTCATATCAGAACAATACTACTGTGTAAGTTATATCAGAAAAATTTAATTGAGGCCACAGTACACAGCAAAAAGGAATGGCTGTTATTTTAAAACAAAATCTTAGTACTTTCCACTGGTTTTAAATATGAGTTCTGATAAACTCAAAATCATCTACATTTGTTCAAGAGAGAACCAATTGTGTCCTTTTTTTATTTTGCATAATCAAATGTCATTATTGATCACATTTCTTGCTTTGATACTACTTTTTGAAACCAGTTGGGGAACTGCGGGACGTTCTCAGTACTTCTAACTAGGATATGTCCCGCACAATATTGATAAAAGGATTTGCAAATTTCTGTCTATGCAAATCTACTTGAACATGAAAGTCTGCACACCTCCGCCCATGGTAGGTCTATACGCAGTCTGCAATAAGCTTCAAAAAGACACTTTTCTTCATAATAACACACACTGATAGGTATTCCACATTATAATATTTCAACAAGATTTTTAGCAAACATCAACACACTTTTTTATACACAAAACTGTCTATTTCAATTGTGTGCTCTTTTAAACGGGTCCCTTTGGTGGCTGAGTAATGATGGCTGTGACAGCGAACCCCGGACTCCCACAAGCACTGATTAAATTCCATAACTTTTTGTTTTGAAGTGAATAAAAGGAATACTCTTGAGTAGACCTTATGCATAAAACGTTGATCCAATGTAAAAGATCTAATAAATCCAGATTACATAGGTCTATATGTAAACAGCGAGTTGGCTCATCGTCACTCCTTTGTGAAATGTGTTGCTCAGAACGAAGAAACTGCAAACAATTTATAATCTAATTATATAATTTCATGAAATGTATTTAAATATAAATTTCTTTAGAATATCTACATAATCTACCCATCCATTGAGCACTCCTAACCTGATAATCTAACGTCTTAAATTAGATTAGCACATAATAAATAAAACCATCTATCCGTTTTCTTCTGCTTTCTCCCTTATCGCTGCTAACTGTAACTCGCTACTGCACCTTATTGGACTGTATTTTAATATGTACGCTGGTAACTTGCACTTTTTATGCGACAGTAGCTCAGTTGGTAGAGCATTGGCCTTTGGGCCTGAAGGTCGTGGGTTCGAGCCCACCGTAAGACCTACTTCACGACTCCCACTGATGACTGCTGTCGTTGTGTCCTTGGGCAAGACACTTAACCCTACTTTGCCCAAAGCCCCAACTGAAAGATCTCAGCTCCTGTGGACTCACCACCTGCAGGAGGATCAGTGAGGGGCTGGTGCTCTGTGTACTGGGAGCAGCTTTGACTGCTACCCCCCCGACCCAGAAATGGATTAAGGGGAAGAAAATGGATGGATGGATGGATGGATGGTAACTTGCACTTTTTATGTATCTGTATTTTAATGTGTATTTCAGTAACTTGCACTTTTATTGAACTGTATTTTATTATGTATTAAAATTAGGGCTGTCAAAAATATTGCGTTAACGCACGTTAACGGTGATCCATCTTGGATCCCCGGGGCTTGGCAGGTAGGCATTAGTTAGCATTAGCACAACTTCTTGTAAGCTGTACAACAATCACTGATGAAATGATACCAAAACAACGCACTGCTAACAAAATATAAAGTACAAAAACTGAAAGATTACCGTTAGTTTTGCGTCCAAAGTTACTCCGAGGCGGTCCCACTCCCGAGGTTACGATGTAAACTAGCTATGTCCATCCGGGATTGATTTCTTCTTTCATCATTTTTTTTGCTTTAGTTCCCTCTTCTCCTCCTCACTTTTGCGTCTTTTGGTCTGTTTTACTGCTGTGTCTGCAGTTACAGCCAGAGGAGGTATTGCCACCTTCTTCTACCATGCTACTGTTGTTTACATGGAGAACGAGCGTCACGCAAAGTTTTTATTCGGCACTTTTTATGGCCTGAATTCATACCATGGACTGTAAATATTCACACACACGCTGAATCAATGCGCTCAATTTTTCAATTAAATTACGGGTTTTAATACTTTTGATACAACTTAAACAAATACAGTACATATGTACACTATGTTGTCATATATTTTTCCATTTAAACAACCTTTACAGAAAAATATGGCATAATTTTTCCGTTAATTACGATTAATACATTTTTAAGCTGTAATTAAGCTCTTATTTAAGTACAGTTTTGAATACACATTTTTATTTGAACTGCATGTTAAGTTATATGATTGTATTGTCGGGACTATGGATGGCATGGTTAAATCTGGGGCATTTTTTAATGCAACTGTATTGTTCTTAGTAAATCAAACTTAAACTTAAACTTGCCAGATTGATGGGGCATCAGTGTCAGCAAAGACGCCTATCATTCCACATCCACACACACTTCCTTCAGCTCATTCATGGGAATTGCAGGATAAATACCCTTTTATCTTTATCTGGATAATTCTGATACATTCACCCCTACACCAGGTCCAAAATAATCACACCAAAAACATGAATTCAACACCCGGTTAATGAATTAGCTACTGTATGTTCTTTTAGCACTCTACCACTGCTCATTTGACAGTCCAAGCAAAAATGTGCAAAACTATTCCAGTTAGCTTATGCACAAAGACACCAGCGAGCGTTCGACTGCGTGGGAGGGAATTTTAAGAACTGAAATAAAGTCTCATCACAAATGCAAAGCTTGTGCCAAAACTTTGTGTGGACAGGCAGGAATAATAATCATGGATTCAGATGGAGAATGCAACAGCACTCTTCAAACAGGAGGAGGGGGGCAAGCATTTTGTTCATTAGCCAAACTTGCCAGGAGTGTTTTTTGCTTCAGTCTGGGAAAGGGCAATTTGGGTCGAGGAAAACAAAGTGGCTTGGTGATTTCAAATTGCGTGTGTTTCTTTCTTATTTCAAACAAGTAAGACTTAAAAAAGACACATAGGGAGGATTTTAAAGTGCTTTGCTTGACTTTGGTCGGTGAAAGTTGCTAAATAGATAAAGAATACTTGTTTACTTATTTACTTCCTTAGTCTATGGATTGGACCAATGCCAGCAATGATTGAGGTGGTCAAGGCCACTTCTGTTTTGCCGTTAAACACAACAGTGAGACTATTTACTTTGTCATTTTATGTTTCAGTGGGAAATAACAACATGTGCCAAAAATATATGATGCAACACGTATCAAGGGTAAAAATGCATTCTGTCTCTAACCCTTTATGCCGCCCCCAAAGAAAGGAGGAAATTGAATTTGTGTATTTTTGTTCACAAAATTGGAATTACCAGCTGCAAACAAAGTCATGGGGTTGGACTTGCCAATTTCATACTTTTACATTTAAAATGCAATAAACAGCTCTGAGTATGATGTCATAGTGGTGCAATCACATCGTACTTTTATAGACATGAGACAGAAGCTTTTAGACAGAATATATACAGATTTAAAATGAATGTCCGGTCTGTTTTTGATGAGGAAACAATGAACAATGTTGTAACATAATTTTCAAACTCACAGGTCAATCTTGCATAACATGTCACCTCTAAAACAATACGGTGGTTTAATAATTGTTTTAATTTGAGATTTTACCACATGCAGTCCCCATTGCTTCTCTTAAAGTTACTGATTGAGAGCAGTTTCAGCGACAGTGGAGATGCACCCTGGCCTGTGTCTAATAACCCATTTGATGAAGTCTTATTTTTATGCTGGTATGTTATGTATATAACTATAGTGGGACTAGCCTGGTCGTACCACACCATAGTACAAATTACATTTCGTACTAAGGTCTGGAGGTGCTCCATTGACTCCGTTTACAGATAGGAGGGGTTAACTCCTTTTGCAGATTGAAATGATTGGATCTGAGTTTACTGTGACTAATGTATTGCGCCTGAGTGAGTCGTTAGCATTTAGCCTAGCCATTTCCTTTGCCAATAATGGAGCCTGTGGGGAGTAGCGCCACAATTTTTGCCGGCGGTCACATTTGCTAAACATTCCTCTTGCTCCAGCTTCAATTTCTTGATTGAACCAGACCGGATTACTTTACTATCGCATTTTTTGCCATTGCCAAAC